TAAAATACAAAAAAGGGAATGATTTGTCTAAGGAGAATTAATCCTAGGGAGAGAGGGTGGGTTAAGGTTGTGAATAAAATGTCTAGTCTTAAGGTGAGTGGGATTATGAAATATAAGATATTATACAATCAATGGTATAAAGTTTTAGGAAACAATTTCGTCTTTGGTTTACAAAACCAAAATTTTTTTAAACTACCAAAACTTGGAGAATTTAAAAAGTTTAGAGCAAAACGTCGGGTTATGGGACCGAAGATATAAAATGAATTATTTTAAATCGTGTTGTGAAGTGCTTATTAGACATTTGGTTAGTTTAGTTATTTTTATTGCTTACAACATTGATTTTTGTTATACTCAGTTTAGTGAGATTAGGTTCTGGTGTTACATATGTGGTTGAATGAGAGATTTTTCTTTAAATTCCTCTTCTATTGCAGCAACCTTGATTTATGATTAAGGTCTTTGTTTTTAGGAGTTGTTTTATTTATTCCTTCTATAGTAATGTATTATAGAAGGGATTATATAAGTGGAGATAAAAGGTACAGTCGATTTATATATCTAGTTTTTGGTTTTGTTTTATCTATAGGGGCTTTGATTATTAGGACTAATTTAATTAGAATTCTTTTAGGTTGGGATGGGTTAGGATTGATTTTTTATGTTGGTGATTTACTATCAGAATGATAAGTCTGCTAATGCGGGTATGTTGATAGTATTGTCAAATCGGGTTGGGGATGTAGGAATTTCATTGGGGATTTCTTTGTTATTTATATTGGGAGGTTGGAATTTTGTTTTTTATGGGAAATATTTAAGTGAAGATTTTTTACTGATAAAATTTTTTGTATGTGTTGCTGCTATAACCAAGAGGGCTCAAATTCCGTTTTCAGCTTGGCTCCCAGCAGCCATAGCTGCTCCTACACCTGTTTCACCTTTGGTACATTCTTCTGCTTTAGTGACAGCTGGTATTTATATTTTAATTCGATTTTGTAGGGCTTACCTGGAGTTTACCTGGAGAGAGTTCCGGGGGTCAACGCCCCCGCGGCCCGGTCTGTGACCAGGCCTCATGGTGGATCAGGGCCTGATCAACCAGGCTGTTACTGCAATCCAACGTACGAACCACAGCCCGGCTGGTCAGGTACGGACTTCAGGTGCTTGTCCAGTGCCTGCTTGAAGACAGCCATGGATAATTCATGTGCTTTTTTTTCATTTATTAACCCATGCTTTGTTTAAAGCGTTGTTGTTTATGTGTGCTGGCATGGTAATTCACAGAGTTAAAGAGTACCAAGGTATTCGAAATATAGATAGATTGGTAATGTGTTTACCTTTAACTAGAGTTTTGTATAAATTTAGCTTTGTGTGGTATGCCTTTTTTGGCCGGGTTTTATTCTAAGGATTTGATTTTAGAAGTGCCATTGATGAGGGAAATTAATGTTTTTAGGTTATTTTTATATATGTTAAGTACCGGTTTGACTGTGTATTACACATTCCGATTGATTTACTATAGTTTGAGATGTTTCCCTAATATAGGATCTATAATGTCTATTAGGGAGAGGCATAGGATAATATTAAGAGGGATTATAGTATTAAGGATTGGGGCTGTAGTAGGTGGTTCTGTTTTGGCTTGAATTGTGTTTCCAGAGTCTTATATAATTTGTCTGAGGATTTTATTTAAAGTTTTGGCTTTGTTAATGAGAGGTATTGGGGCCCTTTTGGGTTATGCATTTAACATAATGAGGGTAGGATCGCGTCTTAAATCTGTAAGGTTATTCTTATATTGTGTTTATAGGGTCTATATTATTTATACCTATTTTGTCGACATCCAGAGTATCACGTTGAAAATTTGGAGTAGGAGATATTTTTTTTTTAAGTCAGGGATAAAGGTTGATCAGAGTATTTTGGGGGTGAGGGAGGATTTTATGGGCTAGCGACAGGTTCTAGGTATTTGCAGTTTAGACAAGAGAATATAGTTATAGTTTATATAAAAGGATTTTTGTTTGAATTATTATTGTTTTTTATTTTTATTTAATTACTTATATATTTTAAATAAGAATTTTGCATTGAAGCTGCAAAGGTGGTTTATTTACCTGTAATATTTTTAGAAGAAAAAAAATCTTCAGCTTTACATTGAAAATGTAATATGTTTTATACATTATAAAAAAGAGAAGTGAACGGAATTTAACCGCTCGAGAGATAAGATAGAAGTTTTTTCACTGGAAATTAAATCTTCATCAGAGTACAAAACAAATTCTGGCCACAAAATAGAGCGAAACACCAACGTCAAAGACCTGGGAGTGATCATGTCGGAGGATCTCACCTTCAAGGACCATAACATTGTATCAATCGCATCTGCTAGAAAAATGACAGGATGGATAATGAGAACCTTCAAAACTAGGGAGGCCAAGCCCATGATGACACTCTTCAGGTCACTTGTTCTATCTAGGCTGGAATATTGCTGCACACTATCAGCACCTTTCAAGGCAGGTGAAATTGCCGACCTAGAAAATGTACAGAGAACTTTCACGGCGCGCATAACGGAGATAAAACACCTCAATTACTGGGAGCGCTTGAGGTTTCTAAACCTGTATTCCCTGGAACGGATTACCAACAGACCCCTGGCAGTCTTCAAGCTGGCACTGGACATGCACCTGAAGTCGGTTCCTGATCAGCCGGGCTGTGGCTCGTACGTTGGTTTGCGTGCAGCCAGCAGCAACAGCCTGGTTGATCAGGCGCTGATCCACCAGGAGGCCTGGTCACAGACCGGGCCGCGGGGGCGTTGACCCCCGAAACTCTCTCCAGGTAAACTCCAGGTAAACTGTTAGGAAGTTTCAATAATTACGTGAAGACCATGGAACCCGGTAGCTACAAAACAGGTAGTACCATAGATTGAGTCTGCAATAGAAAAAGATGCTTCGAAGTATTCATATGCTTGAAGAGAGGTAAAGTAGATCCCTAGAAGAATGGTTCTAAACTTTGTTAAGATTTCGTTCGGATTTTCAACCCCGCAGGGTTAGCCACCCAGGATAACCCAAGAAAGGCAATGCGTCATCGAGGACTGTCTGTCTTACCATACCCCGGTCGGGATTGAACCCGCGGTCATAGTCTCAAAACTCCAGCCCGTCGCGTTAAACCACTAGACCAGCTAGCCACAATAAGATTCATCCAACTAGGTATATTTCTACACCATAGGAAGGTTAGCACAGGCACCACTGTGACCACAAATGCAAGTTTTTACAGACGAATCTCCAGCTAGCGTGGCCGTGACGAACTCTATGACCGCGGGTTCAATCCCGGCCGGGGGTATGGTTTGTTTGCAATCGTGTCATTACGATTTCTTGAGTCACTGTCTGTCTTTTTTTTTCCATTGGGGTCCTTAATCTTGCCCTCCAGGATGCAACCCACACCAGTCGACTAACACCCAGATATCTACTTGCTGCTAGGTGAACATTATTATTATTATAATCAAGGGGAAGCGCTAAACCCGTACGATTATACAGCGCCTGTGAGGGGGTGTGGAAGGTATTCAGGCTTAATTCGGGGAACTAGAGCACAATCCAATTCCCTAGATCAAGAGCCCCTCACCAGCATCAAGAAAGCTTCCTTGAGGGGTGCTAGGTGAACAGGTAAGGAAACGTCGAAATGTTTCTACCCCGCCGGGAATCGAACCCGGGTCCTCCGTGTGTAAAGCGAAAGCTTTGCCAGCCAGGACATCGCGTTTATTTTTCTGATTTTGTTCAATAATTACATTAGCTGCTTAACCAAATTTAATTAAACTATTAAACCAATTAAAGTGATAGGAATAGGATTCGTTGGATTTTTCCCCGGAAGCCAAAAAAAAAAAACAAACTTTTTTTTTTTTCAAGGGGATTTAATTTTTCCCCGGGAAACCAAAGCATGTCCCAGGCCAGTTAGGTTGTTTTTTTGGGGGTTTACCAAACAAAGCAGCTTCTTTCCCATAGTAACTATAATTAGGTACAGGTACACATGAATATAATTATTATACAAAATAACACATGTAATAAGATCACAGTAAACAGTAACATATGTGTAAATTAAGAATACCCCCAAAAAAGTCAGTGACTTATTTCCATTGGGACCGCAGATGTCTTCATTGCACAACCTACTTAATGTTACAAATACAAATAACTTATTTCTTCTCTTCTGTATACAGACATTGTAGTTTACATGTAATAGAACATTGTTAGGCACAAAAGAAAGCTACTACTAGCATGCGGTGCATTTCGGGAGAATTTACATAATGATCCGTATTTATCTGAACAGCTAAAGTAAACATTACCTGCAAATTTGCAGCTAAACAAACTAAAACTACATTGATAATAAACAAGACCATAAAAATAGTACAAATACATAAATATGGAATCGTAAACTTGTTCCAATATTTTTTCTATAGTCATAATTATAAACATAGGCTATAATTCGGTACAAATTAATATCTCGTCACTTCTATAATGTATCTTAATTTAATTGAGTTTATTTGGTAGTGCGGTTGCCCACTCAGAGGTAAAAATATAGGCTTGAAGATAGTTTTGTAAAGAGGGAAGTGTAGGAGAGTGAGGGCAGTCGTAACATTGCTGGTCATCTGTCAGATGGTTGCTGCCGGAGCTGGCTAGTAAGATGTTATTACTGCTGTGTGGTGGCTTGAGTGAGGACTGGGCAAGATGGGGGGTTGTGTAGGCACGGCCAGGGAGGGCTCAACCTCCAGCCGCACCTCCTCTGCTGAAGGATCCACTTCTGTCAGAGGTGGGTCACTGCTGCTTCAACCTTCAACCTTTATTCTTGAGATTCTCACAGTTTGTAAGCTCTCTCATAAAGCTTTTATATATGTAGTGCGTCTTCTTAAGTGCCATTGAAAGACCCATCCAGAATGAAATAAAATGTAAAAAAAAAAAAAAAAAAAAAGGCTTGGAAATTAGTCATTTTGGCTCTTGAATTTGTAAGTGTCCAGAATATCTTGCTGCTAATTTTGTCAAGGTTGAGAACTAAAGTAATCATAGTACTAGGGGGAGAGAACACAACTTTGTAGTAGCCACAGTCAGTGGCCAGGCTTCAAACACCTTTTATTGTACAGCAATCGCTGTATAGCCCTTGTGGCTTAGCGCTTCTTTTTTATTCTAATAATAATAATATTGTACAGCAATAAAGGAATGGAACAGACTGCCTGCACATGTCAGAGACAGTCATAGCATGAACCAGTTCAAGAAGAATGCCAAAAAGTACCTAATGAATGTAGTGACAAAGGGAGGAGAATGATTTTCTATTTTTTTATTTTTTTAGCTAACACGCATGTAAATGTAAATAAATCTTTTTACCTTATTCCTAGTATATATTCTTTATAGTGTGGTAATAAGATATCTCCTTAATAGTATAATAATCGGTTATTATCTACTTTATAGTATAATAATAAGGTATTAAAAAGACCCCAATAAAAATAAGTCACTGACTTTCTTGGGTTATCCTAGGTTCTCTATACATAAGCTTCTATGTCTGATAATTGTGTAACTATTTGTGTATACCTGAATAAACTTACTAATTTAGGTACAGGTATACATAAATACAATTATCACAGTGTAAATTACCTAGGATAACAAAACAAGTCAAAGTGAATTTATTTCGATTGCAGTCATTGATTTCAACTGGATCCAAGGTGATTTACACTATGTATGGTAATTGTACTTACGTGTACCTCTGCCTAAATAAACTTACTCAGAGTATATTATATACTCAATTTTAGGTGAATCTCTTCAATTGCATTTGCAAAAAAAAAAAAAAAATACGAATATTCATTAGCTTTATAAGAGCTTACTGTACAGAAGGATCCCAATGGGAATTAGTCACTTTGACTTTTTTGGGTTATCCTAGGTAATTTTCATATTACAGTATGATAATTTGTGTAACTGTATTTGTGTAATTGTACCTATATACACTTATAATTTTATGTACTCTTCTTGAGTTAATACCTTCAGTTAGGATACACATTTATTGGGTATATATGCTCCTATATTCATCATCTAAACCTGACTCCTTGCACTTACTCCTATTGTGTGAAGTAATTTTATATTTAGGCTTTGCACGATAATATATGAAAAATCCCTCCAGGGAGGTTCCTTGATTCTGGTAAGGGGTTCTTGATCCAAGGAATTAGACATGCCCTTTTTTTCTTTGGATTGACTTTAAATGCCTCCCATTCCCCATATTACTGTATGACCCCTACAAGTTTATCACTCCTCTATGAATGTAATAATAATGACCTTTCCACAATATTAAATGCTTGTATGTACACTACTTCTAAGTGTTAATGTCTCTAGTGAATATGTCTATACCTCTGAGTATAAATACTGTGTGTATGTATGGCTATAGCCATCTGACCCATACAGGTTTATAACTAGTTTTTAATATAACAGTAACAATAATAAGTTTATTGAGGCACAGGTACACACAAATACAGTTACACAATGGTTTTGAGGGCTCATGTTATGGGCAGATAAACAAAAAATGTTTTCCTTTGTCCAAGGAATTGGATCTATCTTCCCCTTGCATTGAACCTGATTACCTCTCATTACCACTGTAACTTGTTCAGCTATCAAGATTTTGCAGCTTAGTCCCAGGATCCATTATGTGCCTCTCTAATCTTTTGACTGTTGCCCACAAATGGGTATGGGGTGTATAATAAAGATATTAAACTGACTAAAACTAACCTTTTATTCTCCAGCAGCTGTTATGATGCCTATGAGTTTAGTGCTTCCCAGTGTCAATGATAGTCCATTAGAGGTATACTGTTTTTTTGCAGTGTTAGCTAATATTGTACCTTTACAGTAAATGTACCTCTTGTGTACCTTTGTCCAGATGTGTATACTTCTACTGAGTACATACATATACTTGTATCCACTGCTTAACTGACTCCTTGCATGTAGTGCTGTATGACCCAAAACAGTTTAGTGTTGGTCAAATAGCTTCAGCCAATATGTTGGTCAAATAGGCTGAAGCTATTTGACCAACAGTCAGGTGACTAGACATGTCACGTTTATTTATTTTCAATTTCCTTATTTTATATTAAATAAAAATTTTTGTAGGTTGACTTAAATCTATTAACTGGCTGGTACTTGATTGCCAAATAAATACCTTTTAATAAACTCTTTATTACTAGGCTGCCTTGCACATTAAACTATTAATTTCAGATTTTTTTGTTCTTGGGTTAAATCTTAATTCATACTGGTTATTAAGATCTATTTGCCTGGTCACAGACTGGGCCGTGGGGGCATTGACCCCCGGAACTCTCTCCAGGTAAACAATGACATCAAGAATGTTTTAATTGCAAAACTAGATTAATCCTTTGACTGTTTCGGTCGTATATATACGTCTTACGCGCCACTGTTTCTGACGTATTTATATGCGTAAATTCTAGTGGCTTCAAATCAAGCAGGAGAAAGCTGGTAGGCCCACGTGTGAGAGAATGGGTCTGTGTGGTCAGTGTGCACCACATAAAAAAAATCCTGCAGCACGCAGTGCGTAATGAGAAAAAAAACTGACCGTTTTTTGGGATTAAAATGCCAACTTTGAGGTGTATTTTCGTATAGTATTTATCGTTGTATTCTCATTTTCATGGTCTCAGGTGATAAAATGGAAAACACATTACAGAAATAGAGATGATTTTGATTACTCTCACGATGAAAACGACCTTGAAATTGAGCTCAAAGTAGCGGAAATGCTCGATTTTTACCAATGTTCAGGAGTAAGCACATCGCACCACACGTCCAGTACACTTCAACTGGGGAGTCTAATATTCTTTCACTAGTGCACTGATATTATTTATACCATTTTTACAATAATGCAGTAGTCTGCATAACAGTAAATTTTTTATTTTTTCTATGAATAAAAAATCAAAATAGAAAGCAATAGTAATATAAGAGGGGCCTAGAGACGTGACTGATGAACAGAGGATATGTTATTTTAGTGCCAAGAATGTCTACACTGTTTATTCTGGACCGTATTTTGAAATTGGCATTTTTTTTAATTTGTGTGAAATTGGCCAAATTGCCAATTTCTGATCACTTTACTGGGTAGTTCAAATCGGTAAATGGGTGGTTTCTTGTACTCAACTGATAGAAAAAATGGAGTTCTAAAGAAATAGCTATGAGTTTGGTCAACTGGAACAACGGAATTCCAAAAACAGGGCTCAAAGTCGGCGAAATCGCCGATGCATATATGTCGCCAAGACCTCTAACTTCGCGGGACTATAATTCCGTGAGTTTTCAACCAAATTTCGTACTTTGTGTCATTACCATCGGGAAAAGATTCTCTTATCATTTCATAGGAATTTTTTTTTTTTCCCAAAAAATTTATCAACATAGAACGATAGTTTCAGAAAGGGGCTTGCGAAAGTCAAAGGGTTAAACTTCATATACGTTAAAGGTAAGTAAATTATTATTTGGACTTTGCATACATATCGGCACATAAAAAGTATATTATGTAGATGTAACCTAGGATTGGTGCGTCTTTATTTAAGCTGAGTAGGCATGTTAAAGTTTTTAGTCATCTATTATACAGTAAATACTTATGCAAAAGTTAACCTATTGCACCTTAATAAAACAAAACACTAACTCTTATCCACTGGGGTCCTTGTGTTATATAGTTACAGTGGAACCTCAAAAATCAAACGTATCAAATATCGAACGTTTCGAAAATAAGAACATTTTTTCGGACAAGCTGTGTCCCAATTATCGAGCGTTCCTCTAATTTCTGACCGCCAGGTACGGGACCTGTCCGCTGGCCCGCTCTGTCCGCGTCCCCGCGCAGGCACCGTGAGCAGTCTAGCTTTGTTTATGCTTGAGTGAACACTAACCTGCGCTCTCATTCACACATTTTACGATTATTTCGTTGTGTTTAGTGCTTGTGGGACTGTGAAATAAGCTGCCATGGGCCCAAAGAAACTTGCTAGTGGTACCCCTGTGGTAAAGAAAGTGAGAAACACCATAGATGTGAAGAAGGAAATAATACAGAAGTGTGAGATGGGAGTGAGACTTGTTGAGCTTGCCAGGATGTACAGAGGACTGTGGACAGTTATTTTGTGAGACAGAAACAGACGACTGTGGACAGTTATTTTGTGAGACAGAAACAGACGACTGTGGAGTTATTTTGCGAGACAGAAACAGACGACTGTGGAGTTATTTTGTGAGACAGACGATTGTGGACAGTTATTTTGTGAGACAGAAACAGACAACTGTGGATAGTTATTTTGTGAGACAGAAACAGAGGACTGTAGACAGTTATTTTGTGAGACTGGGGTCCAATGACTCTCAAGCTGGTCCTAGTGGCATTACAATACAGAGAAGGGAAGCAACCCCAGAGAGGGCTTTGATACCGGAAGTCCTCATGGAGGGGGATTCTCCTTCTAAACAATAACCCCAACTCCCTCTCTCCTCCTCCCTATCTTCCAGATGCCATCACCAATCGTCAATAAAGGTAAGTAAAAATGTTATTTTATATTACTATACATAATTAAAGACTATAGCATTTGTTGTGTGTATGTAAAACTGTAATTAATCTCTATAAAATGTAATTTTTTTTTTGTGAATATTTTTGCGTTTTTGGAACGGATTAATTGTATTTCCATTATTTCTTATGGGAAATATTGCTTCAAATTTCAGACTTTTCGAATTTAGAACTAACTCCTGGAACGGATTAAGTTTGATTTTTGAGGTTCCACTATATATACTTGTTGTATCGAGATTCCATGGTGTTGC